TCTTTTTCGACATTGGGGAGGGGTGGGAGGGTCCGTTCAGTATCATAAGGGAGGGGAGGGGGATACCAAATCAGAAAGACATTTGTTTAAAATATTTAATTCTCATCAAAACAAAAACAAAATGATGTGATTCATGTACTTCACTTTTCTTTATTCACAGTTAACTAAACAATATACACAATTACGACTATACAATCGACCCAAGAAAATGAATATATTCACATTTTATTCGCTCAAAAAAAACTGGTAACAAAATTGTGCACCACTTACATCACGATTCAGTTTGAGGGTGAATGTTGCTCCGCATTCAGATCAACTCTTTCATTTAAACCAAGTTGAAACACAGTTGCTTTTTGYAGCAATTAAAACACATTGAGTAAGTTAAGGTTATTGCGAGCAACATTCACCTTCCTCTACTACAGTTGTTGTATATTACCACTTCCAAAAAATTCTCATTACTTTTCCACAAAGAGCCTGTATCAAGTCWTTGGGAAAATAAAAATATATTGGAGGTAATACAAAATTAATTTGTTCGGCTAATTTTGAAGYTACAGGTTGCACCAATTGGTTGTACTTATTACTGATGAGTGCACTAGTGACWAAGACGCAAACACAAACGTATACGTAAGAACTCGCGAATTGTAATTTCAGCCTACTTTCATACTGTACATGTCAAACGAGGCAGCGTAATTGCACAGTTAGCAGCTGAGCAATTAATATTATAACCCTAAGTTGTTATTTTAAGCGTTTCTGTCACTGATGCACCCATTCAAGTATAATATTGATAATTTCTAGCTAGTTCATCTACATAGATACAGACGTTTTCTTGGCGTAGAAGTCAAGACTTTCTTTCCAGTCTTTTGCTTCATCGATAGTTGCAGCCCTTAGACTCCATTCACGATCGTCTGTTTTAATACGAATTACGGTAGAATCCTGTTCATCAAAGATCACAGGACATCCTCTTAAATAGATAGTGTTGATAATTTTTCCTTCTGCTTTCTTGTAGTAGTGGAGGTGACCTCCTTCTGCAAGCTCAAAGTATCTGTTGTCCCATTTGGGAGCTTTATGTTTACCACCGCTCAGTTTATCTAGATAACCTTGCTTTGTTGGCCTTAGTGTAAGGGATTCCTTAGGAGAATGTTTAACGCTGAGCTGAAATAGCAAGAGAAAAATGTAAATATCTTTTTACTTCACTTCTAAACGAGTTGATCTGAGAAACAGYACTAGGAAGATACTGAAACGCATGTTTTCCCTCTTGATCTTTTCTCAAGTATTAGTACAGCGATTTCAAAGACTACTTAGAAAGTTTGAACCATGGCTAACGAACCTTTTTGTGTATGACTTTTGGTGAATTTGTACGGAACGGTGARGTTTGCGGTTTGAGCTCTGAAACTGAACTTCTTGCTTCTTCGTCTTCAACAGAATYCTGCAAGAAAAGACGTTCAAGGTTAATAAGTGGAACGCATTCATCTTTCATTTGTACACACATTCATTCAGTAAACCATAAGCCCTCTCAATTCATTCATACAGTCATTTATTCATTTTCCCATCCTTCCATTTATCCTTTGATTCATCCATTCACATGTTATTTCTTGAAGCTTACCGATGATGGTCGTCTTTCCTGTCCACTGTCTACAACGTCTGTTAAGCTATCGTTTGGAGTTCCATTTTCTGTAGGTTCTGAACTCGTTGACGTCGATGCCAGTTCCTATATAAAGTAAAACATATCTAATATTGATCTACTTATTTATCTGAGTATTGTTTCAAAAACAAAAATAGAAATGCGTGAAAAGAGAACGATGTGGAAAATCTTCATCGTGCGCAAATAACGTATCACATCTTACCTGGTCTTGAGACTGGGATCTAGCCATTCGAGCAGCAATAGCATTACTGAAACAGACCAGCAAATACACTGTTATTACTAGTGCAAATAAATATTGTACAAGGCCATGACTCAAGACAAAAAGAAGTAGTRGGACTCCTAATTATCACAGGACGGAAGTTAGAAGGAAGACATTAAACCCGKGGCACAAAATCTAAAGGAAGCAGTGGAATTATACACAACAAAGTTTAAACTTTTTCAAAGTTTTATGCGGAWACAACTCTGCGCATTTGTTCGCCATAATGAATTTTTTAACAGCGTCGTTACGAGATACTTAACTGTTAACCGTGAACACTAAATACTTCGATTAGATCAGTGCATAGTGGCCCTGTCCCAAAAACTGGAGATCACGACTTCAACTCCAGCTATTGGCATTTATATTTATTTGTTAACAATACTTTCATTTTTTATTTCATTTAATTTCATAGAATTTCCTCATTATAATTTCTTATTATTATTAGAGTTATATATTGAATTTTTATAATTTTTCTTTAAGATTACTTGACAATTGTTCATTAATTTGTTTGCTCAATCAATCAATCAATCAATCAATCAATCAATCAATCAATCAATCAATCAATCAATCAATCAATCAATCAAATATCAATCAATCAATCAATTAATCCATTAATCAATGTCAATCAGTTTTTTTCTTTAATTCAATATAATTTCATGTTAGTATAACCATAACGCGTATTATTGTTAGTGCCATAGTTTGAATTTACTGTTTATTGGTTTAAATGAACTTATTACAAACATAGCATAATTTAAATTAGATGATATCATAACTTCAAGCTGTGCTACAATTAACTCACTTTAATATATCTAGCTTTATTCGTTTCTTGTCGGAAGGACCGCTTTCTGCCTCGTTTAGGGTCTTTTTGACTTGATTGACAAATGTACTCAACGCCGTGAAAAGTTCTTCGGAGTCTGTGTTTGCTGCTTCTCCAAACCTCATCTGAGATAAAAATGTAGGTATTTTTACAGGTCTTTATGGCAATGAATCGCTGAGACTATACATGCTGCATACTGCTTGCTCACTTACTCAATTAAAGACTGGAAATTAAGGGCTACAGCGCGAGATGAGAAATCTTACCAGCAATTTAGTGTAAATGTACTTCATTTCTTTACACTTTTCGCTTAAATCTTTAAGCTTTTCTTCATATTCTAATACAAATTCCTGTAGCTAGTGTTAAGGATGAATAAACGTGTGAAATTCAAAATGGAGGTCAGGAAGTGGATGAAATAAAAAGGCAGTTGGTTGGAGATAAATGAATGAATGAATGGTTGGATGAAAGAATGGGTAAATGAACGGATGCATAAACTATAAATGAAACAAAGAAAGAATAAATTAGTGTGAAGAATAATGAAATGGTCGTGTGACCAATAGGATGAATGARCCAAACACTAGTTTACCGCTAGTTTAAACAATACTTAGATGGATAAATGGAAGTAAAAGTGGTAATGGAAAGGATACATCAACATCCCTAACAAGCTTGACATCTTGTGCTTCGGTGCGTTTGTATTTTAAGAACAAGTCACTGCTATGCTTCTTGATTTTYTGAAGATCCTTTCTCATCACTAAAACACACGTCAAAAGATTCATTGCAAAATGTACTTAAACTTTTTCGCACTCGTCATTGTAGCTACTCCACCTATGCGCAACTACATACAATGATTTTAACAGCGCTATTACAACAACGACGACGATGACAACAACAATGACAGCAACAAGCGTCAAGAACAATTACGGCCATAGCAACAAGCAGTAACCCCAATAAACGCCCACACATCAAAGTCACAATTGCAATAAAACAAACAATAACTATAACAGAAACAACCGCAAACATTGCAACAACAACAATAACAAGAACTGCAATAAGTAGAGCCAATAACCAACAAAACAACAGGAGTAACGCAAGCAATGAACACTGTCAGTAACAGCACGAGCAACARCAACAAAAACTGACTGTACATCAACAATAGGACGAACATCAATGAGATCAACTATAACGATACAGATCAAATAAATGGTTGTAGGTTGGTAACGTTTTTCATTCCGTCTTGATAATGGCTCGGTGAGCCGAAAGCTCGACAAAAATAAATAACTTTTAGGTTGAAGTAGCGCTTACATCATAATATAACGATACAGCTCGCTAATAAATGATGGACAAAGTCAAAACAACAACGTTACCAATCAATAAMATCCTCTTGAGAAAACTTACCTTCGACCTCAGCAGACAAACCTTTGATAGAAGCTGATATAGAAAATGTGAATAAATGAATAATGGGAAGAAAGAATGAAAAAATGAAAGAATGGATGCAAGAAATACAAAATGATTAAGCACATAGAGCCTATAGCACCCACCGTCAGCAGCTTTAGGAACAGCTTTAAGATCATCGAGGAACATCAACGCATCAGGACAGCACCGCTGTAGCTCGGTTAGTAAATATTTCAGTAGTGTGTTTTTCTTGTTTTTACCGCTTCTAATATCTGCCATCTAAGAACAAGACACATAGCTAAGGGTTATTATCTTTTGCATCAGACAAAGAGAAATGAAAAAAAGATATACGAAAATTGAAAAAAGAGCTTAAAAAGAGAAAGAGAAAGACGAAGAAAAGTAAACAGGAGAAAGAGAATAAAAACGAGGAAATACAACATTAGAGCGGCATTGCTTCATAATGGAGTTAGCATCTCTTATCTCTTTTTAACGTCGATTGAACGACACAACCTTTGCCCACAACCATCGCTAGCAACCTGCATAAATCATCCTTACAACATGGCTACAATGTTGTAGGGATATTAGGCAATTGTTTTAAATCCCCACGACCGTCGTAGCCATGTTGTAAAGATGACTTAGGCATGTTGCATGCGATGGTTGTAGGAAAAAGTTGTGTCTTTAAATATAGTTCAGCTTTTTATTCCACATAACTAACACTAATACACTATATTGTACCAGCTTACCTTGGGTAATGTTGTTAATCTAAAACCATACGCCCCACCACGATTCGTGCCACCATTGATATAGTTACCGATGGCCAAAACGTACTCAAGAACAACCTGGAAACGCTGGCTGCTGTATAATTTGTGACAAGCATCGAGTACGTTACTCACGGCCTACACACAACGAGAGGAACTGGTCATTAGTCCTTCGGCACTGAATYCAATGCGAATATAATAGGGATCTTTATTTGGAAAACTGRAAGAAGGTCCTYAACTCACCGGAGCAAGTTCTTCAAACTGCGAAGGAAACTCCATGACAACGAGTAGAAGATCAAGACGTTTGTCTAAATCAGGAATCTGACAAAGCTGAATAAAGATTAAAAAAAAAMAMCTTAAAAMCCATTTGTATCATAAATCTAAAGACGTTATGTGATGTATGTACTTTGAAGGACGTTGKAGATGTAGGTTTTTTTACCTTAATCATGAATTTATCTTCTTGTAAAAGGCCTGGCATGTCCTCTTCTTTGATGTTCTTGTACATCTCCAGCTCCTCAGGCGTTGGTAGGAATCTACGGCACGGAGAAACTATTATTTGTATCGTGTAACTAAATAGACTAGAAATGTGAAGAAAAGACGAAAAATAATGGGATAATTGGGGATGAGATTATGGGGGAAAAGGAGGAGGGATGGATGAAAAGGTGAAACAATGCCAGAATGAAATGAACTAGGATAAGGGACGAATTGAATGGGAAATCTAGGATAGAAAAATGTGATGTTCTACAGAGCAGAGTGATCAATAGATGTCAAGAATGATTGATAGGCTATTGGAATTTTGAAAGAAAAAAAGGAAAAAGAAAAATTAGGTAGGTTAGGTGGATGGATGGAAGGCTTCATGAAAGCTGAATGGAAGAGAGAATGAAAGACGAAAAAGATGGATGTTAGGAAAGAATGAAAAAAGTGAAGGCCAATGAATGTATGTAATAAAAGAAAGGAGAAGGGATGGAAGGAAAGACGGAAGGAACAATGACTAGTAACTAACCTTTTCAGTGCAATGACATGATCGACAGGCAGAGCTCCCTCCTCTTCCCTAAACAGGCTGAGCTTCTCGTCAATTTCCTTGGCTGACAATTTAAAACCACTAAGAAATATTCCTGGAAAATKGAATTTAGAAACATTYTGAATACAAGAAACTAAGGAGGAAAGTAACAACAAGCATCGTTAGCCATACCTAAGTTGTGCGCTTTCTTAGGGTCCAGTAACATCTTTGTGGTTGGTTTTGCTTGAGCTGTAAAAAGGGACACAATATAACATTACATGGTCGCTTGGACATAYGTATTTTATTTTTTCGTGTTGAAAATCTCTCACTCGTGAGAGTAACAGTCGAAGATAAAATCCGTATCTCCGCGTRCCCATGTAATATCCTCTATTTATACTTGTTTCAATTGTTGCATCGTTTACAATGGCGGATCTTTTGCCATTTTTTACCGTTGTACATTGTTTTTGTTTTGATTTAAAATGACAAACATAACTCAAGAGATGATTTGATTCAAAGTTAAATGTCGTGTTGTGCGTGGTTGAATGCTAACATTAATAACRAATCGCGCAAATTTGTTTGATCATTACYTGGTGCTACTTCTTTCTCTTTCTCTTCCATTTGAAACATTTCTTCAAGTGAGTCCAGGTTTAGTTGACTTGTGCGATCGCTTGCTCCTAGCCACATCGATTGGGTGACCTTTGCAAACAAAATAAAGAAGTTACTATCTACTACTAGTATCTACGATCAATTTGGGACAATCGTTTGGTCATTGATATATGCTGTCAGTAAGCATGCGCATACAGTATAATTAAACAATAGACAGGCGGAAAGTTTTTTCAAATGAAATATTTTAATATCTTATTTGAAAGAGTTTTTTTCATGGGATTGTGAAATAGTAATAGTCAGTGTTTTCTAATAGTTATATTTCAATAAAAAGAAATAAATTGTTTATGAGCTTAGGGTCTACTAGTCTCTATTCAGGCTTACATCAAAATGCGAAACGAAACGAAACGAAACGAAACGATTTCGCAATTTACAGATTTTGGTGAGAAAACTGTAAATTGCGAAACCATTTCGTTTCGTTTCGTTTCGTTTCGCATTTTGCTGTAAGCCCTCTATTCACTAATTTACTATTTAACTGTGAAAACCACTCTAGTCTTAACAACAAACTAAAGCTAGTCTATCAAATCTCTTGCTAGCTAGTCTATCTTGCTGTCTAGTCAATTACCATTTGTAAAGGCACTTTGTTCCAGAAAAAAGGTCTCAGCTTTGTTTTTGGTTTTGCAGCCTTTTTCGCTGGAAGAGCACTGTCTAGAGCCATTATTCCTCCTCCCCCAAGGGGTGGAGGTGGCGGAGGAGCTCCTATTCCCGGGGGTGGTGGTGGGGGAGGTGGTCCAACACCTGGTGGTAGGGGTGGTGTTGGTGGTTCTTTGGTCGATACATCTGAAGTGGAAAAATGAAMAAAAAGTTRTYGGAGGAAGAAATAAACTAACAAGCATATGATTGATTGTAATSTGAATATTGATGATTTTTACATCGATATTGATGATGCAGAAACTGATTATTCCTTGGAATAGTAGACGASTAGGAATCAGTACGTGCGTCCTTTTGGACTGCATCCCTTATGTCGCCAATTCATATCGTCGTTTCCAAGTCGTATTGTAGTTGAAACGTAGAAATATCGCAGTGGTTCTGTAATRGTATCGTTGYCATATTCACAATCATATCGTGGCTGTGTTTTATTGGTGTATCGTATGATTAGCACTCGTTTGACTAGGTTCGCGGTGACTTATATTTRATGTGCGCTCGCGCRCCCTGTGACGTAACTAATTAGATAATTACATGCTTAGTTATAAATTAGAACATATCGTAATCGCATTGTAGTTGTATTGTACATGTAGTAGAATTGTAGTCGTAGACTAGCCATAATCTTAATCATATTGTACTGCAGTCGTATCGTGTAGTCGTGTGCTGGTTTGTGGGCTTGTGAAAAKCRTTTAAAASTATCTTACCTTCATTTGATCCTTGATTCTCTGTAACTTTCAACAAGATAACTCCACTYTGATCTTCTTCCGTATATAGCTCCTTTCTCTCCTTGACTGCCGCGTCAAGACTCGGACAACCCATCCCCCCTGCGTCAATTTCGTGAGTACTACCAGCATCAACTTCACTAGAATTTGGTACCGAGGRAGAGGTRAYTGGTACATTTTTAATATTAACGTTATCATAGGCTTCGAATCTAYTGTCAATGGCTTCTCTGTTTGAWGTSGGTTGTTGATATATAGCTGAAGGCTCTTGATGTTTACTAGGAGATCCTGACGTAGAATAGGAGCTAGGCGTCGTTATATTTACCGTTTCATATGGAGGTACTTGGCGGTCCTTACGGGTGGCGGTTTCGTCTGATGGTGGCCGAGGGGGAGGATGTTGAGGAGCTGTTGGTCCCGATAATGGGCATTTTRGCGAGTTATCTATAGTAGCTGCTACTGGTTGTCTTGATGGGATGGAGTCGTAGGTATACTGTTGAGCGTCAGGSGTTTTCGGTGGTCGAGGAAGGTCCGGTGTTTTAGGCGGTCGTGCTGGAGGTACCACTATCGTCTCGTAGCCTTCATCTATTGGAGTGATTGGTGGTCCCCCCTGACTCTTAGTGCTTTTAGTTGATGATTGYCTTGWTAGTGTACCTATTTGTKGTGTTCCTTGGAGGTCAGTGGACGAGTCAGARCGGTTTTTCATTTGTCGCCTAAGTGAAGAGAAAGATGGCAATTAAATACAATAACAAGTAAATGAATGGATGGATGGATGAACAAATGAATGAATGCAAAACAGGATATAAATGAATGAAGTGAACTGATGAATCTTGAATCGAGAACTTAGACGAACAACAGAGTTGTGCATGAAGTGATCGAAATGCAAAAAAAAGTAAGCTATTCCCAATCCCTTACGGCCGTTAACGAACACAAACAAGAAATTACCGATCAAAACATAACATCTAAGTTACTTAACAGCCATATATGAAAAACGAAAACCACGTTTAGTTAGTTAACAATGTCTGTATAAGTGAATTACATAAAATTTTGTCTACACTACAAATAGAAAAGAAGTGTGGTCRGTATCTGGAACTGTCATAGTTTATTTTCATTCCTTGCGCAAAGTWAACTTAAGATCGCCTTATAGAAACAGCGGTGTCCGATGCCGTCCTTCTACGTTTAAGATCCGCTTATTCTTAGTACATTAACCGAGGTGCATTCGCAAAATCATTTGTCAATAAACACCGGGTTTAGATCTACAGAATCTTGACGTCTCAAAGTTTAATCAACAGACCAAGAACAAAGTGCATTCTAACAATCGAAAATCTTACCTTAAAATAAATATGAAGACATATGTAGTCGATGCTGTTACGTGAATTCAAAAACAGAAACTGCAGTCATGGCCGCCATTAACAACAAGTGTTGAACGATTTGTAAATCAAACTTTAAAGCGTGAAAGGACGCACTTGAGGGTACGCAACGGACAATGGAAGCTATTCCCTACAGACCTTAAGTATTCCTTCTTACTAGRCGTTCACACGTATTCGGATTTTCTAGAAACCGCATATTTTGTCATACGTTTTGGCTAATCGTTTACAAGAAACCACTGAAAACTATGACCATCATTTTACGAAAAACGTTGTTGAAAACAATGCATGAGTTAAATGAAAGCTAAAAAGAAAATAGGAAAAGAGAAAAGGTTAAGAAAAGAATGAYATATTGACTGAATGATTAGATGATTAAATGAATGACTGAAAAACGAAAAACGAAAAGTGGATGAATGAACGAACAATTATACGCATATGTCAGTGATTTAATAAATGACTTAACGAGATAAAGAAAGATAACAAGTGAATATAGAGATGTAACTACGTACATTGTCCACGACAAGAGTCCGGTCTTCACGTGAGTATCCATCTTAGAAACGACTTCTTTCACTTTCTTTACCTAAATACGAACACACTGTATTCTTAAAAGGAAACTAAAAGGGATATGAAATGAATGGCTAGGGAAAAATAATGAAAGGGAACGAGAACAGAGCATGTAGTGAAGAACGAGAAAAAGAAACGAAAGAATGAGAAAGAATATAGAAAGATGGAAARTAAAAAAGACAATCCTTGTCTTACCTGTATTGTTGCTTGTATTGGTGCATTGACAACAGAAAGGACCGATGTGAGCTGTTCGAGCTCCTAAAAATAACAAACGATGGAAAAACTTAATTTTCATTGAATTAAGTTACCTCAAAATCAGCTGATATTGACAACGTTTGATAAACACTTGCACGTAAAACTACTCATCAAATCAAGGAAACTGCGTCGAACGAATACAGTGGCAAGATGGTGATTTGATCTGAGCTTGACTTAATGATTACCAAAGCATTAGTTATTTTCAACCAGGCGACAAAATAATAGTGGAATACACAAGCAATATAATTCGAKTACAAAAAACGCGCATAAATCTCAACACATTTRGCATATTCCTTYAAGAAATCATTAATTTAATGAATTGCCATACACACCCTTTGCAAGGTCTTYACYACATCTTTGATGTACTTCTCCTGTTCTTGTATGGAGTTGGTAAAAGCTGCAACACAGACAAGAACATTAGACAAACAGTCYTGTATCGAAATACAACAGCTTCGAAGTTCATCTCGGGAATAATCGTACTCAATGGAGTCACTAAAGTTATCGTCAAGCGATGGCCACTTCATGTCATTCTTAACAAGTCATTTGAGTATWATTGCATCATCAATGGACGGTCTCCAAGACGACCGCTCAATAAGAACACACTTAAGTGACGGTTGAATGGGGTTCWATTAGCAATTAGCGCGCGCGCGTCATTTGAAAGAAACCCGAAACGCGCGCGTAGTTYATCTTTAAAGCGTGCCACACACGATGAGGAAGCGAGTACTTCATGCTCTCGCAACTTCTTAAGGCAAAAAAAATTACTGTGTGCAGATAAAACATGAATGAACTCAACTCTCGCACACAGTACGTTTTTTTTGCCTTGCAAGGCAGCAAGAAGAATGCTCAAGCGAAAGTCTTCTCACCCTGTGCGGCGGGCCTAATCCAATAAATACAGAGCTTGCGTTAAGGGTTATTTCATTTAAATTCCACATCTTTTCATGATTCATCCTGTTCTTCCATTTTTATCAGTCAGTTCCCCGCGCTAATGAAACCACCGCTTCATGCATTAAGGTAAGGTCTATACCAACGCCTTGTTATAATAGACATAATAGAGTTGCTGCGCGCTAATGAAACCACCGCTCCATACATCATTGTAAGTACCAACGTTGTTATAATAGATGTGCTGCGCGCTAATGAAACCACCGCGTCGTGCATATTGTAAGGCCTATATCAACGTTGGTGTAATAGATGTGCAGCAAACATACCGGGATCTTGGAATATTGACGAACCACGTGATTTACGTTGCGTTGTTGTGATCAGCGGTTGTGAACCTTCTGTGATCGCCTGTATGTGAATCAAGTATATTTATTTTTAGAACATCATCATCAACACTACCGGAAGTGATTATCATACTGCAGTTGTGCCGAAGACTGTCCTTATTGCATGCCGCAATTCCCACATCATCAAAACTCACAGTATTAATTATTCGTTACAGTACCGTCGTGACTATACACTCAGCAATGACGATAACATACTTACCTCTACCCATTCGTTTCTTTCAGCTGTTTCACTCTGAGGGTCCTTGGCTATCACTCGGAAACTATACAAACATAATAATTCACTTCGTTAAGAAAAGCGCACAAAAATAAAAAAATATATGTAGNAGTCAGTTCCTCGCGATAATGAAACCACCGCTTCATGCATTAAGGTAAGGTCTATACCAACGCCTTGTTATAATAGACATAATAGAGTTGCTGCGCGCTAATGAAACCACCGCTCCATACATCATTGTAAGTACCAACGTTGTTATAATAGATGTGCTGCGCGCTAATGAAACCACCGCGTCGTGCATATTGTAAGGCCTATATCAACGTTGGTGTAATAGATGTGCAGCAAACATACCGGGATCTTGGAATATTGACGAACCACGTGATTTACGTTGCGTTGTTGTGATCAGCGGTTGTGAACCTTCTGTGATCGCCTGTATGTGAATCAAGTATATTTATTTTTAGAACATCATCATCAACACTACCGGAAGTGATTATCATACTGCAGTTGTGCCGAAGACTGTCCTTATTGCATGCCGCGATTCCCACATCATCAAAACTCACAGTATTAATTATTCGTTACAGTACCGTCGTGACTATACACTCAGCAATGACGATAACATACTTACCTCTACCCATTCGTTTCTTTCAGCTGTTTCACTCTGAGGGTCCTTGGCTATCACTCGGAAACTATACAAACATAATAATTCACTTCGTTAAGAAAAGCGCACAAAAATAAAAAAATATATGTAGATATATATTCAATAAACAAAAACATAAATAAGTAAAAGAGCAAACGAATGCTGAATGATTTTAAGAAAAAAAGAATACATTGACGAATGGAAAAATGGAAAAAGGGATGAATTGATGAATGAATGGACAAAATGAAATGAAAGAAAGGTGAAAAGAACGCACGAGAGGATGAATTAATGAACGAATGAACGAAGTCAGATAAGTGAATGAAACGATACATAAACAGAWGAGCAAAGAATGGACGAATRATAGAAACGAATGGGAAAGAAACAAATGAATGAATAAATGAACATTTACCTGTATTCCTTTTTACTAGTTGTGATTATAAAGCCGTTATGTTCTGTTTTCTTCACGTCAGCTTGTCCAGGACCAAGTTTGATGATATTCAAAGCAGACTGATTATAATAAAACAAAATCATGATTATATCACTTTTACTTGGTGAGAAATTACACATGTTGCATAGTTTTAACAAACTTTCATCKCTACTTGCCAAMATCRKCATCATTATCATTATCATCACCATCGTCATCACTACCATCATTCATCAAGATCTAGTTATATGTACCTGCTGCTCTTCGCCTATTTTGAAGTACGATAATTCACCTATTTGGACACGTAGCCAGCGCCTGTGAAACAATAACATATTAAAATCATACCATTCCTTCAAAAATATAATAATAATAATAAAATACAATTAGAATAAAAAATATGGTTAAGATTTAACTCTGCGTGACAATGYATCTCTTTATATCATGAAAACAACCT